GCCGAACGGAAATCATGCGCACGTAGACGAGCAGCATTTCCTGTTCGTTTTAAGCCAGACTCGCGGACGTTGCCCCTTTGAGACAGAAGGCCGCCTGCCCAGCAGCGGTCGCTGTCGGTTTCGGACAAGCTGTGGTGTTGGGAATCGTACATACTTTTCCCGTACCTATTTCCGGCGTCCAATTCAGAAATGCTCCATTTTTGAGGGGCTCAGGGTTTCTAAATCGGCCGCAGCCTGTTCGTAAATGACCGAGCGGAGGTTTCCGCAGGTGTCAATTGTCCTGTCGACCGCTTCCGGGGGTCGACCGCACATCGATCGAGGAGGAGGAGGAGGAGGAGGAGGAGGAGGACGGGGAGGCGGAGGAGGCGGAGGAGGCGGAGGAGGAGGAGGAGGAGGAGGAGGAGGAGGAGGATCGAGCATCGGAGCGACAGGAGTCGACCGCTTCCGGGGGCTTCATCGCTGTCGTCTATCCTTTTGCCTTTCCGCGGACGTGCCCGTCCCAGTGTCGCGGGGTGGGAGCGGCCCGCCTACGCTTGGGCGTGGGCTTCCCTCCCCCTGTTCCTCCTCGCCCTGCTCCTGGTGACCGCTCAGGGCGACACCGATCCAGGGTCTGAATTTTGTTGCTGCGCGTGTCTTGCTTGCGTCAGGGTGGGTTGGAGCGCGGTGTCGGACCGTAGGCGAGAGCTGCTGGAGGAGGAGGGCGAGGAGCAGGCGGAGCAGGAACGAGGAGCGGCGGGAGAGAAAATCCGCTGGGGATCCGGAGCCGCCTTGCCGGGAGAGGCACGCGGGGAGCCACTTCTACTGGCGGGCCCTACAGAAGTTCGGAGACCCGCTGTCGGAGCCGCCGCCCTCCGCGAGGCACGTCTTCTATTCCTGCTGCGTCTTCGAGGGCATATCCTGCAGGCGTGTGCCATCTCCGCAGACCCCCTGAGGGCGGAAGCTCCACGACCGAGGCCTTACCGAAAGGGCCTCGCCTTCGAGGGATCGAGGAGTTGACCTCTCCTCCTCGGTGGAGGGCGGAAGGCAGCAGAAGTAAGACGAGGTGGGCTCCGATGGCGCAAGCCGGCGGAAGGCCAGCAGAGGGGAAGTTTGCGTACCCATGGGATGCCACAAATTCGTGGAGGAGACGCCGCGGGAAGCAGGAAGCAAAGGAAGATCTTGATACACACATTCTTGCAATGTAGGGGTGCCAGCGATATCAGTGGAGCTGGCACTATGCTGGCACACGTCTCTCCCCCAGAATTGTTCTAGTTTCCAGGATTTCGGTTTACAGAGGCCAGGCTGAGCTGGAACAAGTAACAACATTGCCAATACCAACACCCCCCCTCTCCTGCCTCACTTCTTCCTTCACCCCACGACCTGCGATTGCAGTGAAATGCCACAACGCGGGATGGGGCATTGGACCCTCACAAGTTGTAGGGTGTAGGTCCTCTCGCTTCCCCAGCGTAAGTGTAACTCCAGGGCTGCGCCTGGCTGATGACACGAGGGCCATCCCGCAATGGTGACATGGCGCCATCTTCGAGAGAGTCTTCCGCCTCCTCCTCCTTCTCCTCCTCCTGCTCCTCCTCCCCCTCCTCTTCCTCAACCCTCTCCTACCACTCCTTCCGTTCCTTCAACTCCAACTTTCGTGCTCCTCCCCATTGGCTTTTTCCCACACTGCCCCCCCCCCCAGGCCCCCGCCCCCCTGCTGTTCGTCTTCTCCTCCACCTCGTCCTACTCCTCATCCCCCCCACCCCCTCCCTCTCCCTCTCCCTCTCCCTTTCCCTCCTCCCTATTCCCCTGCCACCGCGCCAGGCGCCGATGCGCCTTCCGCTCACCTCCCGGGACGCTCGAGGGACACGGGCCGGACGGATTCCTCTTTGTCAACATAGGAGCTCCTTGTGCGAACGGCCTTCCCTCCAGGGCAGAGATGCTATCAAATGCGGCGCTTGCTCCCCGCACCCCCAGCTCCTTTGCTGGTAAAAGGGAGGTGCCCGCCAATTATGCCATCACGCCTCCTATCCCCCACCACCTCCCCCTCGCAGTCAAGATTACTCTGCTCCCTTCCCCAGTCAGGATTACTCCTCCCTTCCGCCTACCTCTTCTCCTGCCTCCTAGCCCATTCGTCGTCTCGCTGTCGAGAAAAAACATACCCTTCAGCTCCCGTCGGCTCTCTTTCGACTTATCCTGAGGTTCCCATTCTTTGTCCTCCTACCCCCCGAGGCCAGAAGAACCCTTCCCTCCCACATCTTCGAGGTGGCAACGCCAGCTCCTTCATCGTCGGCGCGCAAACGAGGGCATGGCGAGGGGGGGTGGGGCTTCCAAGAAGGCGCCCGACCCTGCAGAAGCCCCCCTGCCTTCTACGAAGCCGTCTTAGAGGCCTCTCAGATCGGGGGGGGACCCCTTCTCATCCTCCCCCCCGTGCTGCCTGAGGAGGTCACCCCCTCGCCCTGCCCCCACTGTGCGCGCGGCCAAGCCCCAGAGGAACCCTCTCCCCCTTCATCTTCGAGATGGCAATGCCGGGCCCTTACGCGGGCGCCCTTCGATCCGCGACCGCGCCATCGGGCACAGGCCGCCGGCTGCTGCCCCTGGCCGGTCCAGACCCAGGCGGGAATCCGACCCCAGGGCCGAGAAGTGTGCGCATTGGCGTGCTCCTCCCCCCGCCTCCTCCTCCTCTCCCCTTCCTCTCCTCCGCATCATCCTCCATCTCCTCCTTCCTCCTCCTCCTCCTTCTCCTCCTCCTCCTCCTCCTCCTCCTCCTTCTCCTCCTCCTCCTCCTCCTCCTCCTCCTCTTCCTCCTCCTCCTCCTTCTCCTCCTCCTCCTCCTCCTCTCTCCTCCTCCTCCTCCTCCTCCTCCTCCTCCTCCTCCTCCTCCTCCTCCTCCTCCTCCTCCTCCTCCTCCTCCTCCTCCTCCTCCTCCTCCTCCTCCTCCTCCTCCTCCCCCTCCTCCCCCTCCTGCCCCTGGTCCTCCTCCCGCCATCTAGGATGCGGCCCCCGTGCGCCGTTTTGGGCAGCAGTCAGCGTCTGGGCAGGGCACTGCGTTGACGCCGCCGCAGACCGAGGGCTTTTGTATAGGATCCGCGCACGAAGCATGGATCCCCTCTTCCGCCCCCAGCAACCTGCCTAGGAAATGCACCGTCGTCCACCCTCTCCCGTACACCCAGTGCTGGGCCGCGTCGGATCGGGGTCGGGGGCGGAGGCCCTGCTCTCCTGTCCGCTGCCACGGCCGTCGTCGCTGCTCATGCTGTTGTCGCCGCCGACGCGCCGCCGGCGTCGTCGTCGCGTCGCCGTCCTGGTCGTCGTCGTCGCCGCCGCTGCCGTTGGTCCTCGTCGTCGTTGTCGTCGCCGCCGCCGCCGCCGTCGTCGTTTTGTTCGTCGTTTTCGTCTTTGTCCTCGTCGTTGTCGTCTTTGTCCCCCTCGTCGTCGTCGTCGCCGCTGATCGGCGTTGCCTTCGCCGCTTCGGAGGCGCGGACTCGGCCGGCTGGGCTTTCTGTGGAGGCCGTCGGCCACGCCTTTTTCCGCCAACGGGGACCCCGCCAGGGATGTCGAGGTCGGCATGGGGGGGGAGAGCGCGCCGAGGCCGTGCAGTGGCCTGGGGCCCCCAGCCCTCGCGCTTCCCGCTCTCTCGCCTCTTCCCCCCCCCTCCGTCTTCCCCCCCCCCCCCCATCCCCTCTCGTCCCCCCCCCCCCTCTCTGGTCCTCCGTCCTCCTCCCCGCGCTCCCTCTGCGGCTGGTCCTAGCCTGGGCGACATGGCTGGGCGGCGCTCGACGTTGAGAGCGTTTCCCCTCGGTTGTGGTCGTGTCAGAAGCCAGGGCCGGGTCGTCTTGGCAGGGATCCGCTGTTCGTCGGAGCGGGCTCGGAGGTCAGGCGGGAGGCCTGCGGGCGGCGGGCCTGGGTTTGGGCATGGGGCCTGGGGCCGACCCAGAGCGCCGTCCCTTGCTGCTCTCTCCGACCGATCTCGGAGGGTCGCCGGCCCTCGTCCCAAGGGTCTCTCTGAGCCGCGGGGAGGTGCTGTGCTTCTTCTGGATGGTGCTCTGGCTCAGTCCACCCCACCTTTCTGTCTTTCCCTTCCCACCCCCCCGCACTCCGCAGCCATCGATCCCAGGAGGCGTGCGGCGCGGAGGCAATCCTGCGTCCTGTGCGGCACGGAGCCAGACCCTGAGCCCCACGTTTCACATCCTCGGGCTGTGCTCTTGCACGGAGTTCCCCCGGCGCACTTTCTGGATGCCCAAGGGGGCCTGGCCTCTTCATCCGCGCAGGCGACGGCTGCAGCGGTCCTTTCCGCAGTCCCAACGGATGGCGGGTACGCGCAGGCGGCCCTGCTGGCGCTTTTATAGAGAGGGAGGCGGATCGTTTCTGGGCGGCCGCGGGGAGCAGCTCACAACCGCCATCCCTCCCTCCCGCCTGGGTTCCCAGGAGGGTGGGTCGGGTCGGGCAGGGTCCTCTATTCCTTCTCTCTCCTTCTCTCCCTTGGGGTGGCTTCCTCTCCCTCTTCCTGTCGCCGTCCCGCACCTGCGTCGTGCGTCGACATGGCAGCGTAGGAGGGATCTGACGAGCCCCGGGCAGGATCCCCCTGCCCGCCCCCCCCCCGCCCCGCGGGGAGTCCCTGAGTTGCCTCTCCCGCTTCGTGCCTGGCCGGTGGTGGAGAGTCGGAGTCTGTCGGGGCGTGTTGTTTCGGCGGGGGGTTTGGCTCTGGCCTGTTTCTCATGGTGCCTGCCTATGGGCCCTTCAGCTGTTGGGGCCCGAGGTTCCTTGTTTCCCCAGGTTCCGTCTCCGCCGTCGGGGCTCCGACAGCTCCCCTCTCGTCCCCTCCGGCGCTGGTGGCTTGGCTTCAGGGCCGTCGCAGCACCGACGCTGCCGACCCCCTCCCCCAGGCCTTGGCGCCATGCTGAAAAGGGAGCTGCGTCCGAAGCTCCCGAACGCCGGCTCAATGGGAGCACCACCAACCAACCTCCTCATCCTCCTCCTCCTCCTCCTCCTCCTCCTCCTCCTCCTCCTCCTCCTCCCACTCCTCCTCTGAGGCCCTACCATCTGAAGTACACGGGGCTCATCCTCACCTGGTGGGGCGGCACGTACTGGGGGCTCAACGTGGCGCGGTACGGGCCCCTCGCGAATAGCGCCTGGGTCGCGGCCAGGCGGGGCCCAGCCTCGCCCGCGCGCCTTCCTCGACGAGCCGCCCCCCCCCCCTTCTCCCTCCTGCTCTGCCGTCGATGTCGTGTTTTCCCCTCCTCTCCCTCCTCTCCCTCCTCTCCCTCCTCCTCCTCCTCCTCCTCCTCCTCCTCCTCCTCCTCTCCTCCTCCAGCTCCTCCTGCTCCTTTTCATCCTCATCATCATCATCATCATCATCATCATCATCATCATCATCATCATCATCATCATCATCATCATCATCATCATCATCATCATCATCATCATCATTAACATCATCATCATCATCATCATCATCATCATCATCATCATCATCATCATCATCATCATCATCACCATCATCTGCCTCCTTTTCCCCCTCCTCCATCCTGTCGTGCGTCCCCCCCTCTCCCTCTGACTCCCCTCTCCCTCTCTCGGAGTACCCTCGTATAATTATCGTTATGATGATTATTACTAATATTGTTAGTTTTGCTCTCTCTCTCTCTCTTTCTTTTTTTGTGTTCTCTCTCTCTCTCTCTCTCCGGATCTCTCCCTCTATTTCGCTCGCTCTGTCCATCCTTCTCGTTTCCTCTCCATGCCCCCGCGCTTGTTTTCTGTTCGGTTCTGGCGAGTCTCTGCATCTGCCCGTCTCGCTGGTTCCGCTTCTCCTGCTTTGTTGAGTTCCTTCTGACACGGCACCCTCGAGAGCGAGCGGTTCGCACGTGGGTTCGTAGCGCGATTCCTCCTCGCGTGCATGTTGGTTGCCATCATGTGCAAGGCAAGCATGCCAACCCTAAACTGTTAGTTAGTCAGTGAAGACATTGTTCGGGGAGACGGGCGGAACAGCGCAAGTTCCCTGAAACCAGGGCGCGAGACCGAGCCAGGAGCAGTCGGGAGTTGGGCCAAGACAAGGATGCCCCCTCCCCCACGCCCAGGGCACAGGACCGTGTCGCCGAAATCATAAGTTCCCCGCAGTATATGCAAGGGGGGTCAGAAGGGGAAAAGGGCCTAACGAAGGACATCCCCGGCAGGCGGGACACATGACAGTTCCAGTGACAGGGCGGACGATCGGGGTTGAGGACGTCCCGGCAGCCATTTGCAATTCTTGTGAAGAGAAGTAAGAGACATGTTCGGTGCAATGGCTGCTTGCGGGATTTACGCCTGCTGCACGATGTGCGTCTTCGCGCCGCTTTGCAACTTGGGGCGGAACTCGCGCGGAGTTGTTTCAGTCCGAGGCTCGATCTGGGGAAGGACTGAATCGCTGGGGTGGAGGGGGTGGGCCGAACTTGTGAGAAAGAGGAATATAGGAAGGAACCAGCGTTTAAGCGACATTGAGATACATTGTAATTCATCGGCGCCTGGCTTGGGCCTGTGGTTGAAGCCTTGGAAGGTGAATCACAACTCTGCGCTGGCGGTGGTCTTTCGATTTCGACAAAGCTGCTGGCACGATGCATTTTTCGCGGGGAGCGCTTTTCACGTGCGCTTGGGGGCAGGGGCGGGTCGTTACATCCCGCCTGGGCACCTGAGGGGGGAGGGCGGTTCTGGACCTCCCCCCGCCCGCTGCGCCACTCGGCCCCTCGTCGCCCACCTCCCTGCCCCGAGCCGGGGGTTTGCAGATATGCACCCGGGGTGCTCCAGACCAGGGCCTCGCCGTGGAGGGACCGAACAACTTGACATCCCTTCCGCGGCGGAAGCCGGCGGGAGGCCAGCGGAAGCAAGGCGAGGGGGGCTCCGCGGGTGGAAGCCAGCGGAAGGGTGTGGTATTGCCTGGTGAGCGCAGGCTCGCCGGAGCAGCCGTCTCCACCGCCCAGGGGGCAGGTGTCCGCAGAGCCCCGGGAGGCGACGGATGCGGACGTTCTCGGGCCCCGCGGGTGGAGGGCCCAGCGATTTCGAGCATCCATCGCCTCCTGGGGCCCTGGCTCATGGGGGGACTTCCGACGCAGTGGCGAAGTCAGGTGCCCTCCTGCATTCGTGTTACGCTACAGTGCTTTGTCTCTCTCTCTCTCTCTCGCTCTCTCTCTCTCTTTCTCTCTCTCTCTCTCTCTTTCTCTCTCTCTCACTCTCTGCAGAAACAGATGCAAAGCATCCAATGGATGTGCACAAGATGAGCGTGTGGCATGATAGTGGCCCGAAGTGCGCATCGCGCGAAGATGCACACGCACTACTAGTTACATCTGAGGCTTGCAACCACGGCCGCCCCGCGCAGGCCGCATTCGGTCCGCCCCTTCCCCCCCCCCGGAGGGACGTTTCTGCGCGTCTCGTCTCTGGTCTCGCGCCTTCTCGGAGCCTTGGAAATCTGCGCCCCAGGCGATGTCCGGCGGTGGTCACAGGGGGGAGACAGGTGGAGGGGGCGGGCCTTCTGAGAGGGATCAATCAGAAGGCCTCGGCCTTCTGAGAAGCTTCCTGAGACTTCTCCGACGCCCCGCCGCCTTCTGCGAGGGCCTGCCCCCTCTGACTGTACCCCCATCCGCCGAGATGTGATGCATTGGACGGGGCTGGGGCGAGGATAACTCCGTTCCGGGGCGCTCCAGAACGCTCTCCGAGAGTGCCGGAACGCTCTGGGAAGGCCGCGGCGCCCGAGGCATCCTCCAGGGCCGCCCGGCCTGAGGCATCCTCGATCTGTCCTCGCCGGATGCTGCCCTCGTCCCGGCCTCGCCTCCAGAGAGTCCTTGCCCCCCACCCCGCAGCTCGGCGCGTGGCCCGTGCGCGCGAGGACCGCTGGCGGGGTGGTCCTCCTCGCGGCAGGCGGGCGCACCCTCTTCGGGGGAGGTGGTGGCCCCGAGACGGGGGCGGGGAGCAAGAGTCAGCCACGCGCAGAGGGGGGTGGGGTGGAGGGTTTCTCCGAAGGGCTTAGGCGACCCGTCCTACCCCTCCTGCTCCTCCTCCTCCTCCTCCTCCTCCTCCTCCTCCTCCTCCTCCTCCTCCTCCTCCTCCTCCTCCTCCTCCCCGGGTCGCCTATGGCCACGGGGGAAGCCGTGCAGGGTAGGGGTAGGGGGAAGGCTTCTGAGAAGCACCCCTGCTTTCAGGCGATCGCAACCATGGATCAAGGGGGCGTGGACTCAGCGACGGGTCCCGTTTCCATGGGAAATCGCGAATTTCCGTTGCCGATCGAGGCGGCACCAGCCGCATTTTGGGGAGGGCACTTCCCCCGATCCATGGATTTGGCGACCGCGCGCCAAACCCATGGATCGCTAGTCCATGTTTGCGCGCCCCCGATGCCTCTTCGAGGGCGGCTCGACGACACGCACCTGCCACGGAGTCTTCCGCGAAGCTTGGTCGCCACCGCCAAGCTCGGGCGCTCCCTGGGCCCAGCGGCCGCGAGCGCCTGTCCCGCCGCGGGTTGCTTCCCTGGGCGGCACCCCGTGCAGCCTGCCTGGGCGGCACCGCTCGCGTCCCACCGTGTTGAAGCAGTGGCACTGCGCTCGCTGCAAATGGGTCCCGGTGGCCATCGCGCGCGGCCGCGAAAGCTGAACTGCATTCGAATCGTTGATCGAAGACGTTGGCTCTGCCAAGCGCCACCCTTGGTGCTCGAAGCGCCACGTCGTGACTTGCACCCAATGGGTGGGTGACATGGCCTTGAGCCAACATGGCTACGGACGTTGTGTGTGTGTGTCGTGTGTGCGTGTTGTGTGTTGTGTGTGCTCTGTGTGAGTGTTGTGTGGGTGTTGTTTGTGTGTGTGTGTGTGTCTTATGTGTGTGTGTTCTTTGTGTGTGTACTGAGGGTGCTCTGTGGGTTGTGTGTGTTGAGTGTGATGTGAGTGGGTTCTGTGTGTTGGGTGTGTTGTGCGTTAGGTGTGTTTGTATGTGTTTGTGTGTTTCGTGCGTGGATGTGTGTATTTGTAGTGTGCGTGCTTCCTGCTGTGTGTGTTGTAGTTGTTGTGTGTGCTTTATGTTTGTGTCACGTGCGATGTGTTACGTGATGTGCGTGTGTGTTTTTGTCCATGTGTCTGTGTGTATGTGTGTATGTGTTCTGAACTCCCGGGAAGGTCCAGGAGACACCCACAGGGTTTAGGAGGCCTCAGGAGGTCCAAAGAGGAGTCTCCAGGAGGTCTGGGAGGCTCCTGGAGAAGTTGTGTCTCAGAAGGCTTTATGGTAAGATGTAAGAAATCCGACTTGATATTGGGAGGATGTTTCAGGCGAAACTACCTTGTTTGAAGAGTCATGCCCAACATCATACATCATTGGTTGTTCTGAAGGTTCCTAAATGTTTTTGGACCCTGACGTCGCGATCTCTGTGAGGGGTGCCATCGGTTTTCAGAATGTCGAGGATGTCCCTAGCGAAGCGGCCAGACAAATCTCGAACGGGATGGAACCTTCGATGAGTCGCTTCCGAGCTCTACTCCCTCGGAGAGGTGCGCATGATACACATATATGTATACTCCGAGTTATGTCATAAGCGTCGGTGGGGGTGTCACCCCCGCCGACAGCCCCACATCGACCCCCGTCGCGGGCAGCCACCGCGCGCCGAAGGCGCTCCGACCCCCGTCGCGGCGCGACGACGAGGCGAGGTTGACCCCCGTCGGGGGGGGTACCCCCTCACGCTTATTGATAAGCCCAGAGTGCACATAAATGTGTATATATACATATGTTTGTATGTATATGTATGTGTATATATATGTATATATTCATGTATATATATATATATATGCATATACATATATATATACCCATACATACGCACGTATGCTGGTCCCGCGGCCGATGTACGTTTTCTAGAGGGGCGAGTGCGAGGACCGTAGGATCTGGCATCGGTCGGGCGCCGATTGTCTCCAGGGTGGCCCCCGTTTCCTCCCGCTGTCGTCCGTGGTCTCTCGTTGTTTCCCGTGGTCTCCCTGTGCCTGGCCCTCTGTCCGTATCCTTACGTCGGGCGTGTCCCTCCACAGGAGGAATGGTTAAGCACAGTCAAGAGATAGTCTGGTGACGACTTCTGGAATCTTCTGGAATCGTATTGAATATGTTTGGCTATTTTTTGTGTTTCGTCCAACATCCGTCCTTATGGGGGACGTGCCCGACCTAACCCTATTCTGTGTTAGCCACGGTCTACGATATTGTGGTCACTGTGGCTGTTTCCGTCCAAGTCCCACCTCTCTCTGGCCCATGTTTGCAGTTGTTCTGGGTTCTCTGTCGCACGGGCGAAATGTGCAAGATCCCCCTTGGGCTCGCACAATGGTTTGCTGCAGCGGCAGACTTCTTGAAGGAACAATCTCCCTGCTGTCCTGCAGCGTGGACAAGGCAAGGCCGAGGAGAAGGAGAAGTCGGAGGGGCGAGGAGGGAGGATCACTGGGGAGAGGGGAGGTTGGACGGAGGAGGCTTATCGAGGGAGCGCGGCGTCGTTTCCTTTTGTCACCCCTCCTCCTCCGTCCTCCTTGTAGCTCCACCCTCTACGCTTCTTCCTGCTCGCTATCTCTGCAACTCCGCACTCCTCCTCGTACTCCTCCTGTCTCCTCCTCCTCCTCCCCCTCCTCCTTATCCCTCCCTATCCTCCCTTCTCCCTCTCATCATCCTCCTTCTCCACCACCATCCTCTCTATCCCACATCCTCTTCCTCCTCCATCCGCCTGCTCCACCTCCTCCTACTCCTACTCCTCCTCCTCCTCCTCCTCCACCTCCCCCGCCTCCTCCTCCTCCTCCTCCTCCTCCTTCTCCTCCTCCTCCTCATCCTCCTCCTACTCCTCCTGCTCCTCCTGCTCCTCCCTCCTTCTCGTCACTTCACCCTCCTTGCTCCTCCCTTCTTCTGGCCACCTCCATTTCTCCGTCCTCCTCGCTCATCGCCCCTCCACTCCCCCCTCCCTCCCTCCGCCCTTGCGTGGGGGTCATGGACGAGCTCTCCCCACTCCCACCCCACCCACCCCCATACCCCCACCCCGCTCTACCCCCTGGAGGTGTCTCCGGCCTGATCCTCGCCGACGGCGTGGCTGGTTGGGGGCCTTGGCCGAGCTACTGGCTCCTCGGTGCGCCTCCTCCTCCTCCTCCTCCGCACCGTCCCCCTCCGGATCACATCGCTCCCTTTCTGATCCAGCTCTTCGTCCCCATCCTCCTCCCTTCGCTTCCCGTCCAAGTGGCTGCTCCCTGTCGCACCCCCCAGACGCGTGGGCAGTGCGCGGCGGGCGCGTCGCTGGAGACTTCCTCCCCGCCCGTGGCCCTGAAAAGCTGGAGACATGCAGCAGCTTCGCGCCTGGAGGGGGTGGCGTTTTCAACGCGTGGCGCCCGCCTCTGCGCCGCGCACTCGTCTCACGCAAAAAGTTCACAACCGTTTCAAGGGCGGCGCAGAGCTGAGTGGGCCCTGGAAGCGACAGGGCCGTTTTTTTACCGGTTCCGTTTTGCCGTTTGTTTGCCGGTTCCGACGCCGATGCGCCTTTTGTTTACACTTGGTCATCACCCTCATCCTTTCCCTGATCCTCTTCCAGGACAGGGGGATACAGCTATTATCAAAACGAGAGAGGATATTAGAAGTCCTTAAGAGGGGGAGGGAGAGGGAGAGGGAGAGAGACAGAAAATGATGGACAGGGGGAGAGAAAGAGAGAGATAGAGAGATACAGAGACAGAGATATAGGCAGAGACAGAGACAGAGACGGAGACACCGACAGACAGAAAGAGCCAGAAGGATCAACAGGAGCAGAAACAGGAAGAGCAGTAGGAGGAGCAGAAGCAGGGGGAACATCACAGGGGGAACAGGAAGAGCATGCAGGGAATGATTTGGGCAGCCCCGCATTGCGCAACAAATGGTATTCGAGGCAAGGAACGGGAGGAAGACGAGGAGCAGGCGCCTGTTGAGAAGCACGACGGGCCCCCGCCACTGTCTCTTGGAGGGGCTGCGCTGCCTGGTGCGCAGGGGAGGCAGGACGGCAGCGGAGGCGCGCCCTTGAACCACCAGCCTCGACGGTGCGACGCCCCAGGAGCTCTGTGGGCCCCGGAAACGGCAGGCCCGTTTTTGTTACCAGTTCCGTTTCGCCGTTTTTTTGCGGTTCCGACGCCGTTATTTTACCGGTTCCGTCGCCGTTTTTTGACCAGTTCGGCTCTGGTTCCAATCCTGGAGCGCTTCCAACAGGACCCAGATCTTCGAAGACGGCCCTTTGTGGGCCCCAGAAACGGCAGGGCCGTTTTTTTACCGTTTCCAAAAAAATCCCCCTTGAGAATGGAAACGGCAAAAGAACGGCGACCCGAAACGGCGAAAAAGCGGCTCCAGGATTGGAGACAGAGCCGGAACCGGTCAAAAAACGGCGACGGAACCAGTCAAAAAACGGCGTCGGAACCGGCAACAAAAACGGCAAAACGGAACCGGTAAAAAAATTGCTTTGTCGTTTCCAGGGAGTGATCACACTTGCGCTTTGTGGACGACGGAGCCCGAGGGACTCTCCGGCACGGACCAGGCGTGTCCTCCTCGACGAGTCGTCCTCGAATCGCCGTCCAGCGCTCTTCGTCGGACGTGCCGAGGCGCACTGGTCCCTCCTCCCTTCTCGGCCTCTCTCTCCCTGCACCCCTCGGCCGTGCCAGGAAAGAATATGCTCCAGCCCTGCAGGAGGGCTCCCCAGAGTGGCGGGGCCAGGCTGACTGGTCTCGGATTCGTCGTGGCCCTCACCCAGAGCGCGAGGTGCATCACGAAGAAGAGATGGGCCTGTGCAGCTTAGCTCCAGGCCCGCAGCGCGCTTTGCCCTCGGTGGCGCGGTGGTTCTCCTTCAGAACGGAACGGCCCGCCTGGCCAAAGAGAGAGGTGTCTCCCTCCTCCCGAAAGTCTTCAACGCGTCGCCCGGCTGCACATGGAGGGGAGTTGTGGCAGAGGAGGGGCACGGCGAGCAGAAAAGCGGGCTTCTTTGGTCGCGGAAGGCCGACTCGGGAATGTGAGTCGCCCCGCGTTTCGTGGTTTGCTCGCCAGGTAGGGTTGCCAGGGGTTCAGACTTATTCACCCTCGTTCTTGGTTCGCAGAGCTGCATTGTCGTTTCTCCCCCCTGGGCCTGCAGCGCGCGTCATCCTGAATCCCTAGCCTCATCACCGTCCCTGACAGCGACCCCTGGACCTCCGTAGCCGTTCTTAACAAACCAACAACACACCCATACCCATAGGGGGGTCGGAGAGGGCTATTGGTGCGCGTCTTCGGATGGGGGTCCTCGCTCGAACGGGAGCGTTCCCCAGGGTCCGACAACCCGCACCCATACCCATAGCCAGTCATCCTTCCAACGACCCCCCTATGGGTATGGGTGTGTGCTATTCGTTCGTCAGTTCTAGCTCAAGTGTGCACGTTCGTGGAAGTAGTGTGGCAATAATCTAAGCATGGTTTAGCTAGGCCGTTCTCAGCACAGATAGTGCCATCGCGAGTGGTGGACAGAACATATGATTGATGATACCCTGTGAGCTCGGAAAGGTTCGCAAAAGACCTTGAAGGAGACCCACACAGGTCTGAACAGACAGTTGCACCCTGCAGTACGATCCACTGTAAGTGAACTGCCACTGTAGCTAGACTGACTTCGGGGCGGCATCCGCGCCACGCCAAGCGTTTGTAAAACTGTTGTCGCCATCGGCAGCAAATCCGCGAATCACCGGAATCGTCACTTTCACCTTGCGAATGTAATCGGCAGTTCAAAGTACATGTACGCTGGTAAACGGGATTGCTGATAGGTGCCAACCTTCTCTGATGGAGAAGATGAGTTCACAAGCTGGTGCTACAGTACCGCGTCCATTCAATTGTTCAGGGCGGCCTCTGTGAAATTCAAGCGCCCCGCCATGCAGTACCTGCGCTTCGCGCTTGCATTGGGCGAGAATGGGTGCGACGGGGCGCTGATGATGGACGCTAGCGACATAATTTCGTATATGAGCGTGCTCTATGACTTCGATCTGCCAGACACAGGCAAACGCAACGGAGAAGCGCACATCATGTTAGCATAGAGCGGATGCCCGCAAGGCTTCTAGAGTACAGATCATTGGGGTAGCGATGTGGTGCGCCTTGGGGATACTTGGTGCGACAGGGGGACAGGTCATGGAATCCAGTTCAAGAGCTTCTTGGTTACAAGTTTCGTGTATTTCGATGGCCCTGTTCAGATGTCATTTCGGTTTCATTGAGTGTTTGATGTGGATCGGTACGATTGTGTAAGACGCCTTTGGCTGCTCAGCAAAGTCGTTCAACCCATGGCAGGTCGACCGTGGATTTTAGCCGGGTGGCCAATTGAGCTGTGACGCAGCCGCTGCGGAATATTCGATGGCGTTGCGAGCGTGGCGCATTCGCGCTGGCAAACAGTATTGGCATGGGGTTTCATGCGAGCATATTGGTTCGACGGCCAAGACGAGGTCACGCCGCCGCGGCTGATTCCCGATACTATTTATGGTGTGGAAACCAGAGGACCCGAGACAAATATCGAAACAGCCTTGTTTGTCAATTAGCGCATGATGATGTGCAGCGCTTCGAGATCAGATTCTGTCGCCTCTCGAACACACACACACACACACTAACACACCACACAACACGCACACACACACACACACACAAACGCACGCTTATTTGTGGGCGCACGCGGTCGGGGCACAGAAGCCGCTCGGACGATGGTCAGGCACCGCACAGCTGACTAGCGCCGGTCAGAGAGAAAGAGTACTACCAATTATGTTGAGGCAGGCCAGAGAACGGCCTTGCAAATTCAGACGACAAGGGGCCAGCAAGACACGGGCAGGGAGGGAGGGAGGGCCCAGCAAGGCGAAGAGAGAAAACGAGGAGCCAGGAATCACAGCCGACAGCCGAATGAGGGAGGGGGACACGGACAGGGCATGAGGGGCGGCCGAACGGCGGGGGAGGGGAAGCCGAGGATAAAAAAGGAGAACCACACCACCTAGGCAAGGCAAGACACCAAGAGGGAAAGGAGGAGCCAGGGAGCCGAGAACGGAGGCTTGGAAGGAGGACATGCGGCACACGCAAGGGCAGGAAGGAGAGGAAGAGGAAGGAGAGGAAGGAAGGGGGCAGGCTCAGCTCAGCGGGTCAGTCTCCCGCACGCGCCACGCGCGAGCTCCTCGAGCCGCGCCTGCATGTCTTGAATGGTCGCAGAGTCCTGCATGGTAGCTGCTTGTCTCGGGCCCCAGTTTCGTCTCCCACATCTGCCAGAGATCGCCGGTCTCGCACATGCTGGTTCTGGAAATGTGGTTGACTGTTTCGGGCTCCAGCTTCGGGGAATGTGATCGGGGAGGCCGTCGGATACGGCGTCGGGGCGGTATGGGCAGCGGCATCGAAAACGGCTCGTGTAAACACAAACACACCCGCACACAACTCAACATAAGTAACAAGCACCCAAGGAATTGCGCACCTGCCCTGGGGCACTTTTTGGCTTGGATATTGAAGTGGGCCCAACCTTGGTGGCGGGTGCGTCCCGCCCGCGAGGACCAAAAAGGACCAAACCACGTTCAAATCCTTGTCCAATTCAAATGGCTTACGCCATTCCGCCGACCCCCAGCGGAGTAGAGACGTCTAGGGCGTTGGGTAGGCTATGTTGGAGCTGGAGTGGCTGGGTGTTTTTGCTCACGCCCGCGAAGGTGGAGGAGGAGAAGGAGGAGGAGGAGAAGGAAGAGGTGACGGAGGAAGAGGAGACGGAGGAAGAGAAAAAGGGGGAGGAGAAGGAGGAGGAGGAGGAGACGCGGAGGAGAGCGGAGGCAAGGCTGCTCCTCCTCCTCCTCCTCCTGATGGCAGACTGCCCTCCCCGCTTCGGTGCGTCCTACGCCGGCATGGCGGCGTTCGACCTGGCGCTGCACAATCGCCAGGACAGCGCCTTTGCGTGTTGTCTGTTTTGTCCGTTTCGCTGGGCCGAGGCATGCGGGCGGAGGCGTGCCGTCTCTCGTTTCGGCTCTCTGTCCTCGCCCCCGCTGCTTTTTTCCTCGCCCCTTCTCCTCCCCCTCCACCCCAATCCCGCTCTCCTATTCCTCATCCTTCCTCTCCTCCTCCTCCTCCTCCTCCTCCTCCCTCCTCCTCCTCCTCTCCTCCTCTCTCCTCCTCCTCCTCCTCCTCCTCCTCCCTCTCTCCCTCCCCTCCTCCCTCCCCCTCCACCTCCTGCTCCTCCTCCTCCTCCTCCTCCTCCTTTCTCTCTTCTCCTTTTCGTCCTCCGCCGCCTAGCCATTTCAGTTCTCTGGTGATCTTTGAAGCGGGAGCGCCCGGGCGCGCCCGAGCGCGCGCAGGCTGGCGGCGCAGCAGCAGAGGCAGGCCTCGTCGCCGTCGGATGGAGCGGCTTGGGAGCGACACCGTCTGGGCGCCTCGGCGCGAGGTCGGCGAGGATCGAAGAAGAAGAAGAAGACGAAGAGTAAGCAGAAGAGGAAGAAATTGCATGAGCAGAAAGTTTCGGAGGTCAGCGCGGGTTTTCTGGCTCGGCGTGGGGACCCCCGTCCCTGGTGCGCGGGGCGTGCTTGAGGTCTGCGCTTGAGGCGCCGCCAGGGGGTCCAGCGCTGACCCAAGAGGTCTGCACGGACCTCCGCAAAGTCATGTCGAAGTTTCTCCATCCGGTTCCAGAGGAGGACGGGCGGCCTCGGAGCTGCGTGAACAGCCAGCTCCGCAAGACCAGGCTGTGCAGGTACAACGCCATGGGCACCTGCAGGCGCGGCTACGGTTGCGCGTGGGCGCACTCCGAGGCGGAGCTGCACGCCAGTCCGGACCTGACCAAGACTCGGCTGTGCGCGGCGTTCCAACAGCAGGGCTGGTGCAAGGATGCCAGGTGCCTGTTCGCGCACGGAGAGGATCGATGGGCGAAACGCGATGCAAAGCGCCTCGCATGGCAGCAACTAATGTTCTGTCCAGCTGCCTGCGGCAAGCCCGACACCATGCTGCAGAGCATCGAAACGCATGCATGGTGTCTTTACCAATGTGTCTGGACAGGCTCGGTCGAGCCATGACGGGGCCGTGGAAGAAGCGGCTCCACCGTGCCGTAGTGTGGCGCAGCCGTTACGTTGTATGTTTCATGTTTGTTGCTTTGTGTTTGAGGGTTGCTCGGAAGCTTTTTGGAAGCTGTATCTGTCAGGTGTCTTGGGTAACTCTTGGGGCCCTCTTTGGGGCCTTGTTTGTTTGGTCCCGCGCCCAATCTCTTGGGCGCGCTGGTTCTCCCGAGCTCTCCCGCATTGGCTCGGTTGGATCATTTTGAGTCCGTCTGGGCGAGTCTTGGAGCAATCACGTTTTTTGGACACTATTGGGGCGGTCTTGGGCCGTCTTCGACCATCTCGTGGCCATGTCTTCGGCAGTCTTGATTCGTTTTGGGGGTGTCTCATTCTCCATCTGGCTGAACCTGGCTGGTAGATCTGAAAGGCCCGCACGCCAGCCTCGCATGCCGCAGACGCCATGCCCAAAGAACCCCCAGTTGTCCCTCCCTGCGTGTGCCGCCTCGCCAAGCCCCACCCTCGCCAGGTAGGCGTCAGCTGGCGTCATAACATCGAGCCGTCCGCAGACATTCAGAACATACAGGACGATCTGACATCGAAAACAAACGATGATAACATACCCCAGGAACAGATGCCAAAGGCGGACCTCCAGGACTGCTGCACAAGAACATACACTGATAACATGTATGATCAGCATTACCTAGCTGGCATCAGTATCAGGCATCCATAGAACTCACTAATTACAGTCATCTAGCACATACCTCAAACATGTGCTACGAGCAGAGAGCCAAACCATTTCTTCAGCGCCATACATCCAGAGCAAACACGTCAACGGACACACATTCATGCTAGTCATCTGTAACCATATATCAAGGAAGGGCATCGGTAACAGGCAGCATGCACATACATCTACGCATACACGCCAAGCACACGCATCACGAGCAGACACCCTTAACATACACCCCGATGGCGAACCAAGCAAAGTCAACAATAATGGACATGCGTCTTTGACACCAGGGAGCACTTATCCATAACGAACATCCGCTTCGTTGATACAGGGCAGGCATCAACCAAGAGCAGACAGCAGTATTTAGCACAAGCCACATGGCCAGCAACGTGAACTCACACACGTCAGTACCACACACACAGTACATGTAACCATGACAGACAGCAGTACCAACCATTACGCATACACACCAGTACCATACAGCAATAATATCCACTACCAATAGCAGACCTCCCCGATATGAGCAAATCACAGACGTCGAGGCCAGACATCAAAAGCAGCTACTAGACAGCCGGTTTGCGATTGATAGGGAGTTTCCAACCAGTGCCGCCGGTCCGGGGCACTCCCGCTGGTGCTCGGGTTCGCTCGGAGGCCTGCGGGGATGTTTACGTGTCCCAGACCCGCCCAGAAAACGGAGCGCAGGCGCACCCCCCCCCACCGCTCCCCCTTCTCCGGCAGAGCCACCCCAGCCCCCACCCCAGCAGAGCTGAAGCTCAGGCTGTAGGCTGTAGCTCGGGCTCTGTGAGATTCACACGTGGCGGATATTATTAGGCCTCCGTGCGGGGGTTCGCGGGGCCGGCCTCCTGAGGATGTCCCACGTGAGGGCGCCGTTTGGGAATTCGTTACCGGTTTTTTTCGGACTTCCTGGGGACGGATCAGGGGGTTTGTTGGCGGGTCCATTCCCTCGCGCGCCGGGCGTCAGGGTGACAAGCTCCCTCAAATGAAGAGCAGACGTCCATAACATGAGCCGTCATCACAAACAGAGAATATGCAGCAGGAGCGCAGCGAGGGGAGACAACACACACATATACAGCAAGAACGTATTCCAATGACACAGATCTGGGGCATGCACCCAGGACAGGTGGCATGACGAGACACGAGTTAGAGACACGCCATGAACACACACCGGTATGCGACATCCATCGAAAGACTAACCGCATGTATCAATTATACACCTCAATCGCAGACACATCAGCCAGGGGCACATATTAACCATGTGCCAAGACAGCCATCAAGAACACACAGCGACAAGCCGAACAACGTCCTGATGCCAAAACCCTGCATCAAGAACGGACGCTCTGAATACACGACAATGACACACATTAGGGGCCGACAGCGGCAGTACGCTTCATCATTACGCCATCAAACCGTGCAGCAGTATCGCGCAACAGTTTCGGCGCGGCTTCGCCTGAGACGTCCTCCCAATGTGTGCCGTGCCTCACACACGTCGCGGGTGCAATCACGTGGACAAGTACAGTCTGTAGTGAAATCACACATATTGATTCACATTACGCCCTCTTGATTTACAATATAGCAGGCAAGACGGGTGTGGACATTTGAAGTGCAGTGTGAGTGCGGCCACTGTATCGCATAGTGTAAGCATTGCTCACATAATGTCTGCTGCTATGTGGCATTGGGCAATGTGGTGGTGTTGGGGGACAGCCTTTTTTTCCCAGCTTTTTGTTTGGCCTAGCTGAAGTCGCCAGCCTTGCTTTGTTGCGGGCAGGCATTCTGTTTAGCAGTAGGTTAATCTTCAGCTTCAGCTTCACTCTTCGGTTCGCACCTAGGACGGAGTGGGTTTGTTTCGTACGGTGCTGGCTCAACCTAGTTTACGTAGCTCATAATAGCTCGCTTGGGTTGCTTCGCGTTCAAATTCAGTTTAAGGTGTCAATATTCATACGCGCTTGCGTTTGCAAGAGCTGTGAGCGTGTGTGTACATATAAGCATACCTACATCCATACATGCATGCATATATGCATGCATACACACATACATACATACACACATACACATACACATACACATACATATACACATTCACATACACATACACATTCACATACACATACATACACATACATACATACATACATACATACATGCATGCATGCATGCATGCATGCATGCATACATACATACATACACACACATATACATACATACACACATACATGCATGCATGCATACACACATACATACATACACATACACATACACATACACATACACACACACACATACACATATACATACAAACATACATGCATACGTACATATACATACACACATACATACATACATACATACATACATACATACATACATACCTACATACATACATACATACATGCATGCATGCATGCATACATACATACATGTGCTTATACACAAAGCATACGCGAATATGTACCACACCCGAGAGTACTTGACCTTCGAGGTTCTGGCTATTTTGTTGTGTCCTGCATCTCGCTTGGGCCCTTCGTGAGGAGGAACTCCGCTCCACGAGCACGTTCTAATGCAAGACGTTGTGCATCTGGAACGAGCGGGGGAGGGGGCGCTGCCGCAACGGCGACAGGTGCCGCTTCGCGCACGGCGCCGAGCAGCTGGTGCGCGGAGCCCCCGATGAGCGCGGCCAGGCGCGGCCCGCCAGGCGCCAGGGCGCGGGCGGCGAGGCGGCAAAGGTGCGTTCCGAGGAGCCAGCCGCGGCCCTGAGGGAGGCCCGTGGCGCCCCTCGCGGGCCCGCGCCGCCCGGGGCGCCCGGACCCGGGGCCTGGCACCTGCTCCACGACAGTCCCGCGCAGGTCGTGCCGTGTCTGCCTTCGCGCTTGCCTTCGGTGCGTGCCCCCCCGTTCGGCCCCGCTGCGGGGGGGCCCGCCGCCGAAGCGGCCGGGCGCGGCTCGGAGAGACGGCCGGCCCGGATGTCCGAGCGTTAGCGCTTGCCTTCCTTCAAGTGTTGGGCTCCCCACTGCTGCAGGGGATTTTCCTGCTTGGCATGCCCCAAGGTATGTGTGTGTGTGTGTGTCGACTGTCGAGTGTCGTGTGTGTGTGTGTGTCGTGTGTGTGTGTGTCGTGTGTGTGGATGTGTGTGTGTGTGGGTGGTGTGTGTGTCATGTGTGTGTGTCATGTGTGTGTGCGTGTGTGCCCTCTGGCCGCTCCCCCTTTCGTCCTCGCGCTCTCCGCTGCCCACCGTGAGAGTACCGCGCAGCGTGGTTCCCCATGGGTGAACCCTGTGCGGCCCCGCTGGGCCGCCTGAGTGGCCGGCCCCCCCAATATGGAGGGTTTCTCCGAAGGGCTTAGGCGGCCCTCTTCCCCCCCTCCCCCCTCCTCCCTCCTCCTCCTCCTCCTCCTCCTCCTCCTCCTCCTCCTTCCTCTCCTCCTCCTCCTCCTCCTCCTCCTCCTCCTCCTCCCCTCCTCCTCCCTCTCCTCCTCCTCCTCCTCCTCCTCCTCCTCAGCCTCCTCCTCCTCCTCCTCCTCCTCCTCCTCCTCCTCCTCCCCCTTCTCCTCCTCCCCTCCTCGGGTCGCCTACGTCCCCCAGGGGAAACCGTCCACGCCAATCATCGCCCACCCATCCAAGCCGCGCCCCAAAGTCAGGGGAGGGCAGGCGCGGCGGGAAACTCAACTGATCGCGCGGGGCGCGTGTACGGTAGGTTCGCGCCGCGTTGCCGCGGCGGCGACGGCATCGCGGGCACTCGAGGTAGAACTTCACCAGATGCCGTGGATGGGCCAGTATCGAGCGAGCCCCGATGTCGGAGAGCGGTGATCCTTCAAAACCGAGCGTCCCACGACGTGGCTGCACCCAGCGCCCACGCCATCGCGGCGTGAGCCTGGCGCGGCCGAGCGCCGGGGGTTACCAGATGTGGCCCTGGCCCAAGGTGGCCGCAGCTGTTCCAGGGCGCGAAACGTTGGGGGCACCTTGGGCCAGGACCACCTCTGTCGACCTCCGAGAGCGGGAGGTCTACCCCGCAGCCTCCATCGGCGACGAGCACTTGCTGTGGTTCCCCACGCCGACGGCCGCCTACAACGCGGCGGCGCCGATTGCAGGCGAGGGCCTCGTGCAGCAGATGGAGTCGCTCTGCGGCCAGCCCCGCGAGCTTACCGCACAGTGCAGCCGCATCTCCACGGATGGCGGCGCTGCCCTGTACCACAGGCGCATGGCTCGCTGGTGAAGGGAGGTCGGGTGTTGCCGGAGGTGTTCCTGGCTTGGGTTCCCCAGGGTGTCCCTGGATGCCCAGGAGGGCGACGTATGATAACAGGGTCGTCTGCACCGACATTGGCGCGTCAGCTGCTCGCGTAAGGTCGCGCGTCAGCGCCCTCGTCTCCAATGCAGCGTGCCGCGCTGGCGGCCCGCTTAAGCTGCTGCCGAAGGTCGCTGCGTCATCTCGCGTGAGACCCACTTTTGATCGTCGCTCAGGTGACGTCCACAGCGCCCCTCACGAGGCCCCGAGGTCCCCAGGGACTCCAAGCTGGCACGAAACAAGCTGGGGGCACCTGGGCCAGGGACCCCCCCTGGCAGCCTCCGAAGAAGGGGATGCCCGGGGGGAAAGGGGGTCCTGGACATGTTCTTCGCCGCCTGCGGGCTCCTGGCGCCCTTCCTGGCGAAGAAACTCTGAGGACGCGTAGTGTGCGGGGCGATGAATGGAGGGGCGGCGAAAGGGGCCCTTTGGGGCCCAGAAGGGGGCCTTAGGGCCCGACAAGGGCACCTTTCTCCCCCCCCTCCTCTTTATATCGCCGCACCATGACTTCGCGCCCACGGATCGGCTCGGGGTGAAACAACGGTCTTGGCGGAACGCCTTGGGAACCATGACCCGTTTCCACCGGGACCCTTTTCTGACATGCCAGCCGAGGCGCACGCATCGTCAGGGCACTGGCTCGTCTCAAACGTTCTCCGTCCCCTACGGCATCATCTCCCTGTAGCTCAACGGCGGTGGCCGCGGCACAGTGCGGTATCCCGCGCCTGCGGGTCCAATTTCAGGATAGCGCATTCAGTCCCAACGCAGGGAGGTTACCACGGCGCGGCGTGGCGAGAGGTGAGCACCCGCAGTTTCCTATTCCAGCTCCGACGGTTGCGGTGGTCGTGACCGTTTCGGATCAACGCTCCCAGGCTTGACGTCTCCAGTGTGCCTCAGGGCAGGTTACCTGTGCCATTCGCACTGCACGGCACATCCACAGACAGCTTCTTTGAGTTGTGAGGCTATGGTGTTTGGTTGGTCCTGCTCGATGCGGCCGCGTGAACGAGGCCTTTGACCATGAAAGTTCCGTCCGCCTAGTGCGGGAATATTTTTAATCGTGGGGCGAACGTCGTGAGCCACACTTATAATAACATCAAGGTCGGCTGATCTACTTTTTAAAGTTATTCAGACATTTAGACTGTCAGATCGGGCAGCAGTTCGCGCTTGTTGCATCACGCTACGTTTAAAAGATCAGCCACATTGTCGTGTCTGCACATGCGCTGCTGCGACTCGTCACAAGGAAAAGAAAACATCAGCTTCTCGCGAGAACGGAGGCCACTTGGCAGTACTGGCACACTTGTCAAGTCCGTGTTTCTCAAGATCTGCCCTGCTCAACCGCAACACCCCGTGTCGTGGCCCTGGGGAGCTCCATTGAAGGCCGCAGCTGTTGTGATCACATGCGTCCCGCGCCACCCAGCACGGCGGTTCGTAGCCACGTAGGGGGCTCCACCGAGGGTCCCACTGGCTGTGATCACATGCGCCCCGCGCCACCAAGTACGGCGATGTTTGCCCCATATGGAGCTCCGCCGAAGGCCACCCACGACATCGTGGCTCCAAAGGGAGCTCTACCAAAGGCCCCGCAGGTTGTGAGCACATGCGTCCCGCGACACCCAGCACGGCGTGTCGTGGCCCCACAGGGGGTCGCCCCGAAGGTCCCAGTAGCTGTGATCAGATGCGCCCCGCGCCACCCAGTACGGCGCTTCGTGGCCCCAAAGGGAGCTCCAGCAACGGCCTCAGTGTCTGTGATCGCATGCGCCCTGCGGCGCCCAGTACGCCGCTTCCTGGCCCCATGGGGAGCTCCGCCGAAGGCCACCCACAGCACTTCGTGGTACCATAGCGAGCTCCACCAAAGGCCCCAGAGGTTGAGAGCACATGCGTCCCGCGACACTCAGTACGGCGTGTTGTGGCCCCACAGGAAAACCCACCGAAGGCCCCAGTGGTTATTATAAATGTGCCCCGCGCCACCGCACACGGCGCGTCGTGGCCCCATGGGGAACTCCACCGAATGCCCCAGCGGTTGTGATCACATGCGTCCCGCGCCACCCAGTACTGCGCTTCGTGGCCCCATAGGGGACCCCACCGAAGGCCCCAGTGGCTGTGATCACATGCCCGCGCCACCCAATAAGGCGGTCTTGTGCCCCATAGGGAGTTCCACCGAAGGCCCCAGTGGGTGTGATCAAATAAATCGTAGCCCGCGACACCCAGTACGGCGTTGCGTGGCCCCATCTGAAGCTCCGCCGAAGGCCCCAGTTGCTGTGATCGCATGCGTCCCGCGCCACCCACGGCGTTCCGTGGCCCCATAGGTTGCTCAACCGAAGCCCCCAATAGTTGTGATCACATGCGGCTCGCGCCACCCAGTACGGCGCTTCCTGGCCCCAGAGGGCTTCACCGAATGCCCCAGAGGCTGTGATCACATGCGTCCCGCGCCACACAGTACGGTGGCCCCACAAGCCAGCGGTTGTGATCACATGCGTCCCGCGCCACCCAGTACGGCGCTTCGTGCCCCACAGGGAGCTCCACCGAAAGCCCTAGTGCTTGTGATCAAAGTGAGGCCCGCGCCACCCAGTACGGCGTGTCGTAGCCCCATAGGGAGCTCCACCAGAGGCCCCAGTTGCTGTGTTTGCATGCGTCCCGCGCCACCCAGTAAGTCGTGTCGTGGCCCCAAAGGGAGCTCCTCCGAAGGCCCCAGTGGCTGTGATCACATGAGTCCCGCGCCACCCAGTACGGCGCTTTGTGGCCCCATACGGAGCCCCACCGAAGGTCCCCCAGTGGTTGTGATCACATGCGCGGGGGGGGGGTCCGGACCGAGGGGGGGTCCGGACCGCGCCACCCAGTGCGGCGTGTAGAGGCTCCAGAGGGAGCTCCACCGAAGGCCTCAGTGGCTGTGATCATATGCGCACCGCGCCGCCCAGTACGGCGTGTCGTAGCCCCATAGGGAGTTTCACCGAAAGCCCCGGTAGCTATGATCACATGCGCCCCGCGGCACCCATTTCGACGCGTCGTGGCCCCATAGGGAGCTCCAATGAAGGCCCCACTGGCTGTGATCACATGCGTCCCGCGCCACCCAGTGCAGCACTTCGTGGCCCATAGGGAGTTCCGCCGAAGGCCCCAGAGGCTGTGATCGCATGCGTTTCCCCCCGCCCATTTCGGCACACCCCTCACGCGTCCCCACAGGGAGCTCCACCGAAGGCCCAAGTGGCGACGTTCACAGGCGCCCCCCCGCCCATTTCGGCATGCCCCTCACGCGTTCTGTGGCCCCATGGCGAGCTCCAGCGAAGGCCCCAGAGGCGACGTTCGCATGGCGGCCCCGCTTCATGTCGGCACATCCCTCACAAGTTTCGTGGCCCCACATGGAGCGCCATCGAAGTCCCCAATGGCTGCGCCCGCATGCGTCCCCGCCCCATCGCGGCACACCCTTTACATGCTTCGTGGCCCCATAAGAGGACCCACCGAGTTCGACACCCACAACGGCGATACTTCGGCGACCGCGAACGCTTCTCCCACAACCAGCCCCCTCCCGGATTTGCCCCAGAGCGGGAATCGCGTCGCATTGCCCGTCATGCGGCGAAGAAGGAGTGGGCACGAGGGCGAGGACGGAAGCCTGGCGAGGGGGGGAGGGATGGAGCCCTTGCAGGCGAGCCGCGCGAGAGGGCACGAGGGAGAGGAAGGCTCCCCCGGAGCGTCCAGGCCTCCCTCGGGCCTCCCCTCGGGCTTCCCTCGTGCCCCTCTCGAGCCCCCTCGTTTCTCAGGCAAGCTGCGAGACACACGCGCCTGGAGCGGAAGCGAGCGGCGGCCACGGCCGCCGCCAGCAGGGCAGCACGGAGCCCCCCCGAACTCGTGGCTGGAATCTTGGGGGGCCTGCTGCAAGTCGGGCGTCTGGCCTCTCACCACACGGGAAAGGCCTGTGACATCAGGCGGGCGAGGGCCAGGTCCTCGCCATCGCTCGGACGTCCATTTCCCGTGCATGTTTTGGTTTCGTGCGTGTTTTTTTTGCTCGATGGTCCAGGATGGTTCTCGCAGAAAAAATGCACACGTCCGAGCGATACCAAGGGTCAGGGGCTGCTTGGAATCCTCTTGGGAGCATGGTCGGGTCTGAGGTGCCATCTGATGGGGGAGGTCTCCCGCGTTCCCTGCGAGTTCCCCCCCTTGGGCTTGGCTTGGGCTCCTCGTGGTGCCCTCTTGAGGGCCTTTGTAGCCGTCTTGGTTGCCTCTTGTCAAGCAGTGGCGAAGCGTCCTGGCTCGCCTATGGGCCCACCGAAGAATGTTCCACGAACTGTCTGTGGTCTGCACGACACGTTCTTAGAAAATGTCTGGCTGAGTCTGTCTTGTTTAACACATCGGGTTTATGTTCTAAGAACACTGTTTCTGTTCTTGGATCTTTTTAGGGTTCTATGAACATTTCGTGGTAGGCCTATAGGATTTCCGGGACGGTCGGTCCCTGCTCAATCTTGGGCTGTCTCCAGGCTTTGTTAGGGGCCCATTGGGCCGCCTTCTGCTGGTCTGGGATGCCTCTCGGGTCGTCTCTGGAAATGCGAGAACGCCCAGACCATCCAGCATCACATGGGAGATGCCTGAGTTGCGCCTCTTGGGGCCCTCTCGGGGGACCTCTTGATGCCCTTTTGGGCCGTCGTGGGGCGTCTTGGGCTGTGTTGCGGCCATCTCGGGTTCTCCTGGGGCCCTTGTGGGGGTCCTCTTGAGGCCCTTTTGGGTCCGTCGTGGGGCATCTTGGGCTGTGTTGCGGCCATCTCGAGCCCTCGTGGGGGTCCTCTTGAGGCCCTTTTGGGCCGTCGTGGGGCATCTTGGGTTGTGTTGCGGCCATCTCGAGTGCTCTTGGGGCCCTCGTGGGGGTCCTCTTGAGGCCCTTTTGGGCCGTCGTGGGGCGTCTTAGGCTGGCCGTGGGGGCGCAAGGGGGGGCGCGGTGCCAGTGCCGCGCCGAAATACGAGATAAAAGGGTCGAGCGGAGGGGGCGCGTTGGCTGGTGGGCGAGGCAAGATCTGGGCTGGCCGTGGGGGGGCACGTGGCGCGGTGCTCGCGCCGTGCTGAAATAGAAGGGTTGGGAAAAAGGGGGGACGCGGGCTGGCGAGGAGGACGTGGGCCAGGGTAGGGAAGCGCGCTTGCTGGTGGAAGGATGAGGGGAGGTTGGCTGGCTGCGGGGGGAGGGGTGAGGGGGGAGGGCGCGGTGCCGGCGCAGTGCCGAAAATACAATTGGTCGGGGCGGAGGGGGCGCGCTGGCTGGCGGTAGTGGAGGAGGTGGGCTGGCCGCGGAAGGGGGGGGCTCCAATGGTGTGCCGAAAGGAAGGTGTCGCGGCAGAGGGGACGCGCTGCGGGGGAGGAAGAAGTGGGCTGTCCGCGGAGGGGGGGAGCGGGGGTGCGGGCGCGGTGCTGGTGCCGCGCCGACATGAACGGGTCGGGGCGGAAATGGGGAGGTGGGTGGGCGCGGCGCCAAGACCGTGCCAGGGCATGTTGGGTTGTGGGAGGGGGAGTTGGGCTGGCTGCTGCGGAGGGCGGCGGAAGGGGGACTGGCGCCGTGCCGGAAGAAAGTGGTCGGGGCGGAGACTCGCTGGCGGCTGCCGAGGAGGGCGCGTTGGCTGGTGGGGGAGGAGGGGGACGGGCGAGGCGCAGGTGCCGTGCCGAAATAAAACGGTCCAGGCGAAGGGGTCGCGCTGGCAGGTGAGGAAGGGGACA